ATTCATTCATTCATTCATTCATTCATAATATTTAATATTTCATAAAAGAAATTTGAAACTGCCCAAGTTATAGTACTATCTGTATCTCTTCTCCTAGCCATTTGCTATCTGTCTTCTCTCTCTTTCAAATTAATCAAACAGCAACAAAAAATCTTAAATGGAAAATATGTTTTGAAAGTACTATACAGTATACCCCTCCAACTGGGATTGTTTCTGCTCCAGGTTTGTTGAGCCTGATCCAAGCCACACACTGGAGGAACGGGTGGTTCATTGGTACTTTGCCCAGCTGGATAATAATGGCAGTCACGATATCAATAAGAAGGAGATGAAGCCCTTCAAGCGCTATGTAAAGAAGAAAACCAAACCCAAACGATGTGCCCGCAAGTTCACCGACTACTGCGACCTTAACAAGGACAAGACCATCTCCCTTCAAGAACTCAAAGGATGCCTAGGAGTCAATAAAGAGGGTGTGCAGTTTTTTTTTTATGCATTTAAGATATAAAAACAGGTGATGGATTAGATTTGGCACTCTAAAGGAGCTAGAGTGGTGGTGTTGTGCTTTGGTGGAACCACATTTTGTGACGTTATTACGGAAGTTACTTAATTTCCCTTGACACTTCCTGTTTCATTGAATACACAATGAAAGTTGATGTTCCTACCAACTTCCAACCAGTTTCCTTTTTTTTTTTTTTTCTAGTTTTAATTCAAAACCCAGTAGACGGATATTATTAAAGCATATCTTTACAACATATTATTATTACATTATCACCATATACAAATGTACTTTTTTACAAATATGACTGTTATCCAAAACAGTAACGTTGTGTCTTTTTGGCATCAAACTGACACCAGCCAAAACACAATGTATTATGTATGTGTTACATGATTGATGCATATTCTTAATGCACAATTTCTTAACCGTAAGTTTCCATTAGATTGGAGAAAGTCATGAACTTTCTTTCAGTTTCTGTTAAATATAGAATCCCATCTCAGACTCAGAGTTGAAAACAGTTTATTGCTACTTTGTTTCTCATAATTGCAACTTTATATCTCAAAATGTGACTTCATATTTTGCAATGTGAATTTATTCTTTCAAATTATGACAATTTGTCATATTTGCTACTTTATGTGAAACCATACGACTTTATATCTCACAATGGGACTTTATTTATTACAATGTAATACTATATCCTGCAAATTGCAACTTGATTTCTCATAACTGTGACTTTGTCAAACAATATGACTTTATAACTCAAAATGTGACTTTAAATGTCACAACTGTAATTTTATACCTCAGTGTTCTTTATACACACCTTATGTCACAACTATCTTTTTTTTTTTTTTTTTCTCGGTGGAAATGGGCTTAGTGTACTTTCTCAAACCCCAAACAGCAGTGACTGTACAACATGAGTCAAATACTGACACAGTGATATTTTTGTAAGAGTCAGTAGTTCCTATCTACTGGAAAAATGTCGGGAAAACATGTTAGTCAGATTCTTTTCTTATTATTAACATGTTTCTTGTATGTTCTTCTTATTTGCAGGTAGCACTACAAGCAGCAGTCAGGGGACAAGGCAAGGGACAAATTTGTTCAGTAAGGCCTGACTAATTGCTTTCGCACTAACATTTGCCTCAGCAGTTGCAGAGAGCAGAAATTATAATATATTAACAATATGAATAGAGTGCAAGCATTGTAGTGAACAATATATGCCTTGCCCTTTTATGATGGAGATGGCACGAATGATGCATCCTTATGGCCACCCACATTGTGTCTGCTTTTGTGTGCGCATGTATTCTTTGTGAGCTAAATTCAATAGATGATTACTTTAATCATAGCTTTACACTGTAGTCAGGGTGCTGTGTGTAATTGAGTCAGAATGGAACTATTCTCGGAGAATAATCAAGGACAAAAAAACAGTAGATACAAAGAAAGTGACATAATTATTGAGAGTAATGTAGTGGAAAATTTACATTCAACCCCTAGAGCCTGAACGGCGATCATCTGAGTGAGGAAAATATGGATCTTTGCTCATATGCACTTAGTTCTAGATTTATTTTTCTTTTTTTTTTAGTTGACAAGAAAGTGCAAAAATTATATGTATTATTTGGTAACAAACAAGCATTTGTAATCTAATGCAATATTATTTTCCACTATATTTTCATCAACAGTGTTTTAATTAAAAGGTTAATTTTCGTCATGATGCAAATTTTTCCATGTCAACTTCATTATTAATGAGACTAACAAACATTTTCATGATTTTGATATACTGAAAAGCTTTTGACTACTGACTATCCTGAGCTGATTCTATATAAATATACTATAAAAGGTCTAAATAAATGTTATTTTTGCCCCCAGAATGGAGTGGTTAGATTAGCTAAGTGGGCCATGTTAAACAGCCAAAACTTGAGTTGGAAGCAACTTCTACCCTCAGATAACCAGGCCGGATGGTGCGGCAGCCCAAAATCCACCTGATCCTCCACTGATCGAGTTAAAATAATGCTCCATCCCATCATTAGCTGCACCAGAAGTTTTGCCACTCCATCACCGTCCAAAAGACTAGCTACTTATGTTACTTATTGCAAGAAGACATCACGTCTAATGGCTTTTGTTGGACAGAAGTTGCAGGTTTGGAGTTACTCGCTTCTCCTCGAACACATCGTTTGTTCTACTTCATAGATAAGCAATGACAAGTGCATTAGTAGGACTGTAAAATGTTTCCAACCTCTTAAATCTAGTAGGAGAATACAGTTTCCAAAATAACCACCAGGAGTCACGACCCCAGGCTTTTTTTCTCTTTTCCGTTTTATATCGCAAAAAAATATAGCGCTGTCATGACTTCGCTGTATATTACCGGGTTATGAGAAGGAAAGTGTGGTTTTAATATTAGTCCTGATGTGCTTCTCCATATCGGCCTCCTCTGGTTTGTGGTTCTCTAAAGTGGAACTTAAGGGGAGAAATTATTTATCTAAATGCTATAATTCTGTGCGTCCAGACCCACCTGTTTCTCTTAGCTAAATTACAGCGTGAGGTTTAATTCATTGGGCTCCTGTGTGTAGACGCTCAGAAGTCATGCGCAACTTTATAACTGGTTTGAATAAGACTTTGTGGCACCATTTACTTCACATTTGATTAGTGGTAATCTTCAGTGATATTTTCTTTAGAGCCACAGAAGAAGAAAAAAACGCACTTATTTGGAAGCATGACTGTTTATTTGAAATGATTGCAACTGTAATAGCTCTGAGACCAAGACGGTCTCATTCGTGTTTTTTTTGTGTGTTTTTTTTACCGTGTCGGAGACCGAGACGCAGAGCAGAAAGCAGAGATGTTCTGTCTCATAGCACGATGACAAGTCACTCTCTCTCTCCTTCACGCTCACCGTCTGACTTTGGTCTGTTTTTGCCAGCCATAATGTTTTGCTCGTAGTTAGGTGTTTAGCGTTTGATGACAGGCTCGCTAGCCCACTAGCACCGTTTCTCGCCAGCTCGCTCTCCGACCAGTGGGATTCCCTTGTTATTAGTCGAGTAGCTGCTGTTTACCCTGGCTTGTGGGTTCTGGTAGCCTAGCAGAGACCCACCAAGGTCCCAGCGATGGCTGAGCTCATGCGTTTACCCTGGCGCTGCCCACTTCAACCTAAAAACAGTGGCCGGGAGCGGGCAGAAAGTCATGCCCAGTGGACCGTGACTAGCACTGCCAAGATAAACAGCTGTTTCATTTGGAGAGCTGAGGGGGATTCTCCTACCCACAGCCAAAGAGTTTACTTTTCAACACCCCCCTCCCGTGTACACACTCGAGGGTTGATTAATTGGGCCTAGCTTCTCCAAAAAGGCAGTTTTATGTCTTGTCGCTTAAGTGTACTGGAAGTAAAATTGATGAGTCTGATGTAGTTGCAATTTGGGACCATGCACTGCCAAAATATCTACGATGCAATCAGAGCCAATAGACATTTTCTTCATCTGGCTGTGGCTGTTTGACAATGAATGTTTGACAAATTGTAACAATTTATTTAGTTACAATACTGTACTTGCAGTTACTGCAATCGAGACACCAGAATTATGTCTTAAAAATGTTGATAGTGCTCTTCACTTTATAAAACAGGTTTTCTTACACAAGTGAATTACTGATGGCGTTTATTAAATTCATCAACAATATGTTCACATTCATTATTAATCTTATGCCTATTGTGCTAAAAATAACTGTTAATGTTTCTTGTCTTGTCACATTGACGAATTACATTGTTTTACATGAATTGAATTACATGAATCGTTACAGAAATGTAATGTTAAAAAAAGTGACGTGACATGTGGCCAAGTATGGTGACCCATACTTGGAATTAGTGCTCTACATTTAACCCATCCAAAGTGCACACACACAGCAGTGAACACACACACACTGTGAACACGCACCCGAAACAGTGGGCAGCCATTTATGCTGCGGCGCCCGGGGAGCGGTTGGGGGTTCGGTGCCTTGCTCAAGGGCACCTCAGTCATGGTATTGAAGGTGGGAGAGAGCGCTATACATTCACTCCCCCCACCTACAATCCCTGC